AGTCATCAATTTTGTATGCGAACACCCGCCTAACTAGACTATATAAGGACTTATTAATTTCTTTTGACGGTTACAACGGTATCAAATTATTGGGTCCATCATTTGAGTTTGGTGATGGTAAAGACTATCAATTCAAGTCATTGCATTACTGTTATGATTACAAATCCCATATTGCCACTTTGTGTATGCAAGTTTGTTCATCCATATAACTGGAGATGGGCAGGTTAAAAGATCATAATCAGCTTCATTGCATCTGAATTGCTTAATCTTGTATAGTTGGGCTGATTTCGGTTCTAGTTCAATCATTGCAACACTGTATTTTTCCCATAGGTTTTGGCTGGTTTGATGAAAAACAGCGGTGACATTCAAAAATTCATGATGTTATTTTCTAGTTCAACATCTATAATATACTTTAGAAACCGTTGTGCTGCCTGGCTGGGTACCTTCAGTTCTAAGTCGAGTTATGTAGTTTGAATATCACATATTTTAGTTAATTAAATATCAGGTTACCTTAAATTTTAAAATGGTGTCATAGTAAGGCATACGGTGAATTTTGTTTTTCCATAGAATAACTGTGGTGCGTGTTGCTATTTATCCTCATTTAGTCTCCTTTGTACTCTGATTGTTGTTGGCCAGCTTGTTGAAGTTTGCTCTGTTTTAATCATCTGCCTTACTCATGGCACTGTTCTTGAGCATCTCGTATGCTGTGACATCTTGCAGTAGAAATAGTAATTCACTTGCATGTTTAAATAATGGAGAAAAAAGGTTTTAGCGTCAATTTCTTAACGTGAAATAGGAAAAATGAAAGATATATAATCAAATCTATTCGTAACGTTCAATGAAAAATTTTCGTTCAGTGAATAAAACAAAACCGTTTCAATATTCGACATACAAGAAAAAATTGTAAGTACTGTTACAGTATTTATTATTGTTCCCTTGACCTAGAGTTGGAACACAGGGATTCAGTTGAACATCTCCATTCCACTCCACCACTTCAATCGCTTCAACCTGACACCACAATTTGCCCACAAACTTCCATTTCTTCCTCACACAATCTACCCCATATCACCCTCAGACCAGACAACCAACTCGTCGTTTCTCATTTGCATTCCACTCGACAACCTGGACTGACCTCGCACGTGATGTCGCCAAATGGTCTTCTCAAAGTGTGCCCAATCCATCTACAATTTCTCTTGCATAGTTGTTGAACGACGGGTTCTTGGTTGGCTCGTTGTCAGGTCACAGTAAGTTTCTCGTTGCTTATTCTTTCTCATCATCCGATCTTCAGTATCGAGTGAGTGTAGGCGTAGGCAGCAGCTGCAGATGAATGTCTGTGGTTCATATGTTGGAAATGCTTTTTGTGACATGTCAAGTCTCTCAACCGTCACACAGAAGCATTAACTGACTTGACTGATGTTGGTGTTGAAAATCCGGATGTTGTTCATGCTTTGTGCTGAGTGCAATGCAGTAGATCTCCACACCGATCATTTCACATTAATGCACGAAGACGTGTCTTGCTGTCTTTCTGATCCTGGCTTCGACATTCTCGTGTGTGATTGTGCCTCCACATGTAGTTGAAACGATGCTGTCTGTGTAGGTAGTTAGGTAGGTAGGTAGGTAGGTGTGTAGGTGTGTAGGTAGGTAGGTGTGGGGTGGTAGGTGTGGGGTGGTAGGTAGGTAGGTAGGTAGGTAGGTAGGTAGGTAGGTAGGTAGGTAGGTAGGTGAAAGAGACAACTTCCTTTAGATTCCTCCCGTTCATGGTGATTGGTGCTTGTTGTTGTTGATGCTATTGTTGGTTGGGTATCGTCATCTCCTCCGTCTTCTCTACGTCCACCTGAAGGAAGTTCCATCTTCACTGCCCTGCATCTCCTGTCAACTTATTACTTTGTAGATCTGGAGATCTTCGAGTTTGTGCTTCATGACACGTTGGACACAAATCATGATGGTTGGTGAAATGGAAATCTTCTTCTGGGGTCTTTCCATCAGTCCAGCTAGCGTATGCTCAACTTCTCACAGCTGCTCACAGTTTGTTGCATGATCCACTGCAGTCGACTGCAATCAGGAAGATGATTGTTGATGTTAGGTGTCAGCCTTGTTTTACTCCTATCTCCACTTCAAATGTGTCACTGAGCCTTCGGTTGTGAGTCACTTGGTATATGGCGTCGGCATTTATTTGTCACATGAGATTGAATAATGTTTATGGCACTGAAACCGTAGTGTTGAAGCAGTTGCCTGCCAAACTATTTGTCGGTTGACGCTGTTGAAGGCCTTTTCGAAGTTGATGAATTTGAGGAAGAAATTTGACTGTTGTTCTATACTCTGTCGTATGATACTGTTATAGTGAGTACAGTCGAATACTAGATAAATCTAAAAGTTATCATGATATATAGTTTTTAATTCCTGAAACTATATCACTGCTTAGATAATGTTTCGTTTTGTGGTTTTTCCTCATAGATTAACTAACCTGTTCTTGTCTTCCAATATACTACAATTATAACAATATACCAACCTTATAAAATGTCACTAAAAAGTTGTTTAATTATGCCTTTTATAATTTATAATAATAATAATAATAATAATAATAATAATAATAATAATAATAGTCTTTACTTTTAATCAATCCATTGTATAACCCATAAAAATGAATAAGTTTCAAGGTGTTACTGCGTCTATCGTTATCCAAAAATTTTAAAAGGAATGGATTGAATATCATTTTTTAGTAACACTGAAACAGTCACTTTTCATAGGGTTAAAAAACGATCTCGAAAATCTCTGTTAGTTGAGTTCACTGTCTCTTTTGTTCATGTTTTTAGTTTTTATTCAAATTATAAGATGTCTGAAATTGACATTTAGATAAGAAAATACCTACAGATATTCTATTTAATTCTCTTGAGATTGGTAGTTTATTTCTCTTCGTCTGCTAATTTGTTTCATGTTTATTGTTTCTTGTTCAGTATATTGTTTTGTTTTGTTCCGGTCTTTTTCTTTAAATAGCATTTTCACTATGTCATAGATGAAGCTGATTAAAATAGCAAAACCATGACAAAATGTTTGCGGCGAATCAAATAGTGTTCACGGATAAGTATTATTGTCTGCATACAAGAGTAGGACAAGGCTGACACCTAACATCAACAATCATCTTCCTGATTGCAGTCGACTGCAGTGGATCATGCAACAAACTGTGAGCAGCTGTGAGAAGTTGAGCATACTCTAGCTGGATTGATGGAAAGACCCCAGAAGAAGATTTCCATTTCACCAACCATCATGATTTGTGTCCAACGTGTCATGTCGCACAAACTCGAAGATCTCCAGATCTACAAAGTAATAAGTTGACAGGAGATGCAGGGCAGTGAAGATGGAACTTCCTTCAGGTGGACGTAGAGAAGACGGAGGAGATGACGATACCCAACCAACAACAGCATCAACAACAACAGGCACCAATCCCCATCAACGGGAGGAACCTAAAGCCAGTTGTCTCTTTCACCTACCTACCTACCTACCTAACTACCTACACAGGCAGCATCGTTTCAACTACATGTGGAGGCACAATCACACACGAGAATGTCGAAGCCAGGATCAGAAAGACAGCAAGACACGTCTTCGTGCATTAATGTGAAATGATCGGTGTGGAGATCTACTGCATTGCACTCAGCACAAAGCATGAACAACATCCGGATTTTCAACACCAACATCAGTCAAGTCAGTTAATGCTTCTGTGTGACGGTTGAGAGACTTGACATGTCACAAAAAGCATTTCCAACATATGAACCACAGACATTCATCTGCAGCTGCTGCCTACGCCTACACTCACTCGATACTGAAGATCGGATGATGAGAAAGAATAAGCAACGAGAAACTTACTGTGACCTGACAACGAGCCAACCAAGAACCCGTCGTTCAACAACTATGCAAGAGAAATTGTAGATGGATTGGGCACACTTTGAGAAGACCGTTCGGAGACATCATGTGCCAGGTCAGTCCAGGTTGTCGAGTGGAATGCAAATGAGAAACGACGAGTTGGTTGTCTGGTCTGAGGGTGATATGGGGTAGATTGTGTGAGGAAGAAATGGAAGTTTGTGGGCAAATTGTGGTGTCAGGTTGAAGAGAGTGCAGTGGCGGAGTGGAATGGAGATGTTCAATGAAGCCTTATGTTCCGATTGGAACCGAAGGGAAAAATGATAATTATAATCATGACAGTGTTTGCCTGTATTATGGCGTCGTTGAATGGACTAAATTGATCGGTCTGTATTGGCATATGGGCTGCTGTGCGGCTGCCACTATTATACCTATGTTTTAATTATAGTAATGATAGATAATGGATGGCAGGGTAATCCGGGTTGCCCATTTCGTCTTATTTGATATCGTGGCAATTGTAAGGAGCCCATCCAGTCAACTGAGGTAAAGTACAAGGTTTTATACAATAACTATATCCGTCACACAAGATATAGCGTACGTGGGTCAGAGGTGTAATGGATAACGTTGTGGCGTTTGAAGCGATCGGATCCGGGCTCGTATGCTGGTGCAGCAACATCACTCACTTGAAGGCAGGTACATTCAACTGAGGAGTCCCAGATAAGACGAAATTAGCATTCTGGATTCCACTGCTAGTCACTATCCATCTTTACACGTGTGTTATGTCTGCAATAAATGTGATGAAACTGACATAAATCATTAGGATTGTCAATAGGCTATCACAATGTGCTTCGGTCTTATACTTCAGTGCACCTCATGCTTTGAAGACCTGTCTAAAGTTACTTTTTATCTGACGTTCTGTGAGTGACATATTAAAGGTCTATCTTGAATACATTTTGTAGGAAGCATGACGCAAGTTTCATGAGTAGTCGAAGAAAAAGTAGCTACCTTGGTATGAATGCTTTTATTGTGAATGACTGAAAATACTTGAAAATTTTTCAGTTATATAAGACACGAAGAATCAACTACTATCAATATGATTGTCAAAACGAAGACTCATGTCAAAGTTTCTAGATAATTTATCAATCATGAAATCATTGAGTCTTTTAAAGGTGAATGTTTTACACAAAAGGTCAGTTTCTGCATTTCCTAATTAAACAAAGTCAAATGGCGTCAAATGTGAAGAAAAAAACTGAGAAATCGCTTCTTCATTCCTAATGCACACATTAAGAAACTTCTTGTGTAGAAGCTATAAAGCGGGAAAAAAGGTATGATGACAAACTCTGTTATGTTAAAATACTCTATTCTATACTTGTTATCAAAATTTGGGAATAATATAATTACACAGCATTTATACTCATCTGTCAGTGCCAATAAGAGCGGCTTCGAAAATGGTCCTTTGGTCTTATGTGCATAAGCGTTGTTGTTTCTCTCCTTAAACTTCTCAACAGACTCTTTTAATCACGAATATTGACAAGTTAACTCATATTTGTTTGTTTGCATTCCATATAACTATGAGTGAATATGAGACTGGGTATGTGAATGAAAATGACGTTTATTATCCGCTTTTTCGTAGTATAGCTTGCTTTGATGAGATCACTTTGTGAGGAATGTATAGGCCAGGAGAAGGGTATTAAGCAAGGCATGCAATTCGACTGATGAGTTAGTTCGGCTTAATCTACTAAGGTGGTTTGAGACGTATTGCACATGCCAAGCCACTGCTTGCCTTGAAGTGCCATGCTAGGGGAAGTTGGACTAAGTTGAGAAAGGGTTCAAGGTGACCACAAAAAGACGTTATGTCAGTCGACGAAGTCTCTTTCTGTTAACCTGAGCCATGTGGGGAGATATAGACTTCCTAATCGGGGTCCTCGAGACGAAAGAAATCAGTAGTTGGGGACATTTGGTGATTTGGCTGAAACTCGGTCACAGTGGTGCAGATGTATTCACCCCTTGACATCTAAAACCTGAACATCCCTACTAATTTTTATCTCCAAATTGCTTTTCCTCTCACACAACTTTATCTACTTTGACATCATTCTTGTTCAACTCACTTGTCTTTGTCAGGATGAAAGCGTCAACAAAGTTGTGAATGAATAAGAAAAGTCAATTGCAACCTGTCATGTGTACTACTGTGTCTGTCAGTCTTTTGAAGGAGATTTCATACATGAACCGGGCGACTTTATGAGTCACCCTAGCAACTTCTGAAATAATTAGTCATGTTTTGAAATTCCTGCTATATAAAAAGTATTTCATAGGCCAAAGAAATACAGTTGGTTATCTCTACAGTTTCTAGGGTGGCATTCAAGGCCAGTTTATGTATTCCCCTGCATGAATTTTGGAATAATGAGAGAGTAGAATAATAGAAATTCACCAGATCTTTGTGGTGTCTTGTCAAGTTCTTACAAGCAAGAATATCAAATCCAATACTTTAATTCATTGAAAGAGAGTAGAATATCGGCCATTGGTTAAGACAAACAGAAACGGCCACGCAGAAAAGGTTATTCATAATAACGAACTAAAGTGGCGTTAATAAATGGCTACAGTTACATACATAATAAATAAATAAATAAATTTTTATTCTCATATTAGTAATTTACCATGAGATAAGCCAGTTTACAGGCATCATCACATTGGTGTATGTCGAAAAATCTACAAGATTTTACAGGTCCTGAGTAGTACAGAGGGGAGGTCCTTTAACTCCATCAAAAACATCGGATCTAGGTTACAGGACAAAGAAAATACCACTTTCAGCATATGCAGTGCGTCAAAGTGAAGATAACATGACAGATACCAGTTCACAACCACCATCAAAATGATGATTTTGAAAGTTTATAGAATAATGCCGGGAATTATATAACTTACATAGCAAGTTATTGATATGCATAAACTTATTAAAACTTGCTGCAAATCAAGAGATGGGTATGAATTTCCATCTGTCATTACACAGATAGGTTCCACTATCAACGACAAAGAATGCAATGCTCGAAGTTTGCGTTATAACCAGACGATGTTGTTAGTCCATTTGCATAGTTTCTTTAATGATGATGGGCAGTGGCTAGCAGTGGAATCCAGGATGCGCAGTTCTTCCTATTTGGGACTCGTCAGCTGGATGTACCTGCTTCCCAGTGAGTGATGTTGTTCCCACCGAGACTCGGACTCGGGAGCGATCGCTTCAAACGCCAGCACGCTATCCGCTACACCACCGAGCCACGACAGCCACTTCTTATGCGACGGGTATAGGTTTAGTGTTATTGCTTGTGTTACACCGTCGTTGATTGGACCGAATTGATCAGTCTCTGTTGGCATATGGGCTCCTATGCGGATGCCTCTATATTGCCTGTCTTTTAACTATGTTTAGTAATGATGGGCAGTGGCTAGCAGTGGAATCCAGGATGCGCATTTCGTCCTTATTAGTAATTAATATCTAGTAACATTTAGTAATATTTATATATATATCTTATATATATATATATATATATATATATATATATATATTATTTAGTAATATGAACGTCCATTCACTAGAAAGTTCTTCAGTTTTTATCTTTGCTAACCACAATCATAATCTAATGGAAACTTCTCGAACACGATAACGAGAAGAGTAGCAATGAAAATATTGAGCGACTTAACTTTATAAGATTGTGTAAGTAGGTCATAATATAGTGAGTTAGGCTCAATTAGTTAAAAGCACTCGATATGAACAGATGATACAATTAAATAGGAGTGAATGAATAGAAATCTAAACTTGACAGAGAATGACGTAATGTAACAGCAAACAGAAAAAGGTTAATTAGGTGGATAGAGGCTGATTGTGGCCTCTATTTGAACATATGAATCAGTTTTGAGTTGTTAAATGGCTATAATCCCAGCAAACTTCAGGAGAATTAAGATTAAATTTTGAGGGAGTTGTGGAGATTTGTAAATATTTCTCGTTGTTATTCATCGAAGACTGACATCAGTTGGAGGAACAAAGGAAACCTGGGAGCACTGGACAGCTGTTTCGTCCTAGTATGGGACTCCTCAGCAGTGCGCACCCACCACCCCACCAGCAGGGGTCGAACCCGCGACCTTCAGGTTCCGCGGCCAGCACTTCACCACTGAGCTAGCCACTGGGTCAAAATTCAATGCTCCATATTTCCAAAGTTCCCGAAGTTCCAATGGGAAGTTGTGACCGGTGGAGTCAAAGCCTGATGGCCGTGAGGACAAATACTCAACGATGACATTGGGTGGCGGTTTGCGCTATATCGTGAGCTAACAGAAGTTGGAAATATGGAGCATTGGATTGTGACCCAGTGGCTAGCTCAATGGTAACGCGCTGGTCGCGGAACCTGAAGGTCACGGGATCGTGGGTGCGCACTGCTGAGGAGTCCCATACTAGAACGAAACAGCTGTCCAGTGCTCCCAGGTTTCCTTTGTTTCTCCAAGTGATGTCATTCTTCGATGAATAACAACTTGAAAGAATTAAGATTGTTTGTTGGGTTATTTGTTATATTGAAATAGCTGATGACATCTGCTTGATGTCCAGTTTTAATCGGATGTCAAGTGATTGTACTGTTCAGAGTATTACTTCCATTCAGTTAACATCTCATCCAAATATGTTCAGAAAATCTCAGATATATTCTTTTCTCTGTTCTACTTATGTATTTGATTTATGTTAAATTTTCAGAGAAATTGTATATTTTTATATTCGAGGTTATTAGTAGTTGATAAGTCACTATCAAAGAAAAATAGATCCGTTTTATCTTCATCACATTGTTCATACTCTTTTCAAATATCAGAGAGGAGTCACTATTGTATTACGGTAATTATACTACTACTACTACTACTACTACTACTACTACTACTACTACTACTACTACTACTACTACTACTACTACTACTACTACTACTGCTACTACTACTACTACTACTACTACTACTACTACTACTACTACCACTACTACTACCACTACTACTACTACTACTACTACTACTACTACTACTACTACCACTACTACTACCACTACTACTACTACTACTACTACATCACAGAAATATATTAGAACTTACAAAAACCAGTGTGCTTTGTACAATTCGATTACATTTGAATCTTACCTGGCAGACATTTTACAGTGGTATCATACTTTAGTAAAAGCGAAATGAAAAAATAATATTTTCTTTAGAGGAATAAAATTTACAAAGAACTAATTAATTATACTACATTTCATATATGAGTTTATTATTATTTTTGTACTAATAGAACAAACTTCTGTCTGCTATATTCAGTAAGTTCTTTAATTTGCTGTCTATTTTGAATATATACCAATGAATTATAGAAATTTGTACATAATGACAAAGAGTAGAAAGAGAGTAAAAGTTGAAAATGTTTTATAATTTACATTTTTGTGACTAATTGAAATGCTTACTAAACACTATGATGAAGTGATTGTAGAAATATAAATTAAAAAATTTATACAACAAAAAACTAAATGAAACATCAGATCTGAAGATAAGATGGAAGCATTTGTTTGTTTAGTTCTATTACGAACTAAACAATTTTAAATTGTTCTCTTATTTGCACCAGCTCTGAGTAAGCTTTGAATGGAATCCACTAAAAACAAGATGTCATACAGTTTAAACAATTCATGGGAATCATCCTGGTTCATAAGTCTGTTGTTCTGTCTGTAAGGTGTTACGTGAGTGAATTTTTGTTACTGTACAAACAAAGTAATGGGTATTTATTATTTATGTATTTTTCTCTTGGCTTAATAGTGAAACATAGGGATTCAGTTGAACATCTCCATTCCACTCCGCCACTGCACTCTCTTCAACCTGACACCACAATTTGCCCACAAACTTCCATTTCTTCCTCACACAATCTACCCCATATCACCCTCAGACCAGACAACCAACTCGTCGTTTCTCATTTGCATTCCACTCGACAACCTGGACTGACCTCGCACGTGATGTCGCCAAATGGTCTTCTCAAAGTGTGCCCAATCCATCTACAATTTCTCTTGCATAGTTGTTGAACGACGGGTTCTTGGTTGGCTCGTTGTCTGGTCAGAGTAAATTTCTCGTTGCTTATTCTTTCTCATCATCCGATCCTCAGTATCGAGTGAGTGTAGGCGTAGGCAGCAGCTGCAGATGAATGTCTGTGGTTCGTATGTTGGAAATGCTTTTTGTGACATGTCAAGTCTCTCAACCGTCACACAGAAGCATTAACTGACTTGACTGATGTTGGTGTTGAAAATCCGGATGTTGTTCATGCTTTGTGCTGAGTGCAATGCAGTAGATCTCCACACGGATCATTTCACATTAATGCACGAAGACGTGTCTTGCTGTCTTTCTGATCCTGGCTTCGACATTCTCGTGTGTGATTGTGCCTCCACATGTAGTTGAAACGATGCTGTCTGTGTAGGTAGTTAGGTAGGTAGGTAGGTAGGTGTGTAGGTGTGTAGGTAGGTAGGTGTGGGGTGGTAGGTAGGTAGGTGAAAGAGACAACTGGCTTTAGGTTCCTCCCGTTGATGGGGATTGGTGAATCTTGTTGTTGATGCTGTTGTTGATTGGGTATCGTCATCTCCTCCGTCTTCTCTACGTCCACCTGAAGGAAGTTCCATCTTCACTGCCCTACATCTCCTGTCAACTTATTACTTTGTAGATCTGTAGATCTTCGAGTTTGTGCGACATGACACGTTGGACATAAATCATGATGGTTGGTGAAATGGAAATCTTCTTCTCGGGTCTTTCCATCAATCCAGCTGGCGTATGCTCATCTTCTCACAGCTGCTCACAGTTTGTTGCATGATCCACTGCAGTCGACTGCAATCAGGAAGATGATTTTTGATGTTAGGTGTCAGCCTTGTTTTACTCCTATCTCCACTTCAAATGTGTCACTGAGCCTTCGGTTGTGAATCACTTGGTATATGGCGTCGGCATTTATTTGTCACATGGGGCTGATAAATGTTTGTGGCACTGAAACCGTAGTGTTGAAACGGTTGCCTGCCAAATTACTTGTTGGTTGACACTGTTGAAGGCCTTTTCGAAGTTGATGAATGTGAGGTTGAGAATTGACTGCAAAGTTTATTAGCGTATACTAAGATCGTTTAAATGATTAATGCATCTGTCGAGTGTTTTTAACTTTTACCTGAATATTTTTTATGAATAAAAATGTATCTATTAATGCAAATTGATGAAACAGGAAGGAAAACATCCCTATCATCTCGAAAATAGACAGAAGAAACAAAACAAAACATAAAACATCTAGTATCACACTTTAAATTCATCATTTTTAAAGTTTGTCCACAAGTTGTTTTATTCTGTAACGAAACAATCCTAATGTAGTTTCTAAGGTTAGAGATTTGACAAATTATGATTCTATTTGGAAGTATTTGCGAAAAGTACGTCAAGGTAATTTATCTAGAAATCGATAAACGATAACACTATCATAAGCTCCTTCATTCAATGGAAGTAGATGGATAATGCTCAAATCTTGAGTTTATTAAGAACATTACGAAAAATTGTTTTTAAAAATCCGTATAATAGAACTCATTGTAAACAAGTAATAGTTTTATTAATGTAGAGTATAATGTAACTATTCTTTTGCATATGCCTAATTGACCGCTTAAGCAAGGTTGCCTACTATCCCCCATGATATTCCTGATTGTGGTCGACTGGATCATGCAGCAAACAGTAGGCAGCGAGAAGAGGGGGATACGCTGGCTGGACTGAGGAAAAGAACCTAGAAGATCTGGATTTCGCCGCCGATGACTTGTGTCTGATGTCTTGTGGCACAAACTTGAAGATCTACAGGCAAAAACTAACAAGTTGGCAGAAGAGGTGAGGCGGCGAAGACGGGACTTCAGGTGAATATAGAGAAGACAGAAGTGATTAAGATACCGCACCACCACCATCAACAACAACAACGAACTCCAGTCACCATGAACGGGAGAAACTTAAAAGAAGTAACCTCCTTCACCTATCTAGGAAGTACTGTTTCAACTACAGGTGGCACAGACGAAGATGTCAAAGTCAGAATCGGGAAAGCAAGACAGGCGTTCATTAGCCTGAAACCAGTGTGGAGATCTTCTGCACTCAGCATGTGGAACAAGATACGGATTTTCAATACCAACGTCAGTCAAGTAAATCAGTGCTTCTGTATGGTTCACAGACTTGGCGCGTTACGGAAAGGGATTTCCAATAAACTACACACATTCATCAACAACTGCTTACGCTCGCTACTGAAGATCAGATGGATTGCCAGAAAGAATAAGCAACAGGGAGCTCTGGGAACGAACCAACCAAGAAGCTATCACTGAACAAATATGCAGGAGGAAGTGGAGATGGATTGGGCATGCACTGAGAAGGCCGACTGAGGACACCACGTGTCAGGCCAGTTGGTTGTGTGGAACCCCGATGGGAAGCGATCAGTTGGGCCTCCAAGGTGAGGGTGACATGGAGGAGATCGTGCGAGGAGATGAGAGATTGTGGGCTGTTGTGGAGCCAGGTTCAAAAGATTTCAGAGGACAGAGTGGAGTGGAGACGTGCTACTGAAGTCCTATGTTCCATTAGGAACCCAAGGGACTAATAATAAATAATAATAATAATTGACCGCTTGGTTCCTAGAGAAGTACTTTTGAAGATAACATAGATCTTTAAGTGATATTCACTGAAAACAACGGTCAACTAGACATTAGAGACGCTATGACACAAGTATTTATTCCTACAGCTTATCGAAAGGTTGAAACAAATGAGTAAATAAGAGAACCGCATTGTATAATAATAATAATAATCGGTTTATTCCAAACAATACATATAGCAGTATGGAATTCTCAGTATGTGGTTTTTCAACAAATTCACTCCCAAAACAACACTTTCAGATGAAATGGTTATTGCATCTGAATAATGTTAATAATAGCAGTATTCAAGGCAATAATGTGAAGTAGTCAGCTGGATAGCGATAGGCATTTGGTTCATAATGAATCATCAACAGAAATGCAAGCGCAATTTTTGTGGTGCCGGTTCATTCAGACAGTACAGATATGTGTAACTAGAGCTAAGCATCTGAAGGTAGAAATATGATGTACCTTTTTTTCAATAAAAGGTCCATTTCCATATAACGTAACTTTTTTTCTCTACTTTGTTACTGACACGAGAAACGGAAACAGTTTAAAAATGTGCAATAGTACATGATGCATTCAGATGATATTTTTAGATGATTAAAATAGACTGATAAATGTTCAATGGATAAATCTGGTAGCCCAACGTTCAAGCAGCAGTGATGTTTGAAGGCGGAATGAAAACTTAGGTGGCGGTGAGTTTCGAGCCAGGAATCATTGAGTTTTTGACCCGATGCTCTACCAGCTGAGCTACGAAACGCGACTACTCACCTGATTTTTATTTCACTTCGATCACTAAAGTTGTTAGTTTAGTCGCTGTGGAATGTTCTACAAGCTATTCGACTACTATCCATTTTACTTGTATAACTCAGCAAATAACTGATAACGATTCATTAAATGAATATCCACTAACAAATAGACAGATTACGAGTCTGTCAGATTTAAGTTGTAAATTTATGTTAAAGATGAAAAATCCTCCTCCTGTCATAAAGAGAGGTGAAACATTCATTGAGTGTCCACTGTCACTTGAATCTCCACAAAGTTGCAAACTTAGGAGTTCAAGTGAATGAAATTTTATGATATACCTTATACCCGTACTGTGTGATGAAAATCTAAACCGCGGCCGGATTCAAACCAGGGAACTCCTCCTCCGCTGGTCGCGGTACCTGAAGGTCGCGGGTTCGATCCCTGTTGGTGGGGTGGTGGGTGCGCACTGCTCAGGAGTCCCATACTAGGACGAAACAGCTGTCCAGTGCTCCCAGGTTTCCTTTGTTCCTCCAATTGATGTCAGTCTTCGATGGATAACAACTTGAAATATTTCTTAAGATAATTAAATCTTCAAGTGAACTACTAAACTGTTTATCTCAGTAACTTTTATGCATATTTCACATTCTGTGATCCTGAAACTTAACATGGAAATAATATAGTTTATTTTAGACACCTGTGGTTCCTCAGTATCGATGATTATCGTTACAAAGTTTCTTTTCAAACTAATCTTCCTTGGTGATTGTTACTGCTTCACTAGGAAAAATAATAGTGAGAAGA